ATACATACATACATACATATATATATATATATATATAATGGAATGAATAAAAGCTTTTTGTCCTCTTCTTGTTGCAAGACAAAAATGTGACTAGCTTCATGGCTAGTTACTTTGTCCTTGACGCTTTTAAAATTACAAATACCATACTTTAGAAGTTTGCTTTCTTGTAATTGTTAGGTATGGACAAGGAAGGACATAAGTATGTATATTATATGTCTTATATAAAAGTTTTAAGACATGTAATTAATTATGAGGAATATGGATTCCAATTTTTTGCTCTTTCTTGCTTCAAAAACCATAGCTAATGTTAGAATTGTTGTCTTAAGAATATCAATTTACTTGGATATTTTATGGACCGTGATTGCAATCACTTTCCAAAATCTATGATTTCAAACCCATCTAGGGTATCACGAAATCAGATTTGGAATAGTCCAAAGAATTTCAATTTAGAAGTCGGACCACTTCTTTAACATAAACACATAAAAGTACCTTGCTATTTTGTGTTCTTGAGTGATAGAACAAATCAATGTATGATTTTCGTGTATGTAAGTTCCAACTCGTTTTCTTGAACCAGAAAATGTTCTTATACTAGAGGGAAAGTACTTATACGAAAGTTGCATCCTTTTTGGCGCCAAAATCGTTGGTTATTATGACATGGGAAATGTCCTTGTAGCCCCACAATCTTACATATTTTTGTTTAAAATGTCCATATTGTATTTTTTTGGCTTTCTAAGGGTCTGAATTCACAATTTACATGCTTTTAAGGCTATTTTCTAGAAAGTGAAGGGGTCACCTGGTGACCCCCTTACTATTTAGCCAGTTTTAGTGTACATGTCATTAAAAAATGCCAACTCGTATGCCAAATTGGATGCCACCTAATCTATTGTTAATTGAGCTATGTAACCCTTCCTCTAGAAGATAAAGGACACATTCTTCTGGAATCGCTTTCTTCTGCCCCTTTCTTCTATTTTCTTCTACTGTTCCTCCCAAATAATTCTCCACTGGATTCTTGTTATGGCTGTTTACATGAAGATCGATATTTATTTTGCTGGTATGTTTACGAGGTACCCGGTGATCAGTTACTTAGATGTTACAGAGAAGAGGTTTGAGGATGTCGATTTTGCTGGAATAGACAAGAACGAATTTGTGATGTTCCTTCAAAGATTCTCAAATGAGACATGCGTGAATGAGTACTTTTGCATGCCCAATATTCAGTTCCCTGATGGATTGAGGATAATAGCCACTGCAAAAGACTTCTAGGAGTTGATTGAAGTAGGGTATGCTTGTGGTTGTGTAATTTTTGTGTACATGGATCATCTTGGTGTCAATGTCCATCATTGGGTTCTTGATGAGCAAGTTAAAGTATGCACCCCCGAGGACAAGCTTTCTTGTGTAGGTGAAGTTATAGAAGAGTTGCATGCTGAGAGAGAAGTTGACATTAACCTAGATAGATAAAGTGCAAGGTGATTTGGATGATAACATTGAAGATGTTCATTGCATTCGAATGAACAAGACCTTGAATGATACGTTTTTGAACAAGTTCTGCCCCAAGGTGCAGCCAACTCCAGACAATCCACCTCATGAGGATCCATATGTTCATATGGAAGAAAACGAGCCAATACTTGAGGAGGTAACAACTTTTAATGAAAATGTTCATTGGAAGAAAGAAAAAACATGTGCTAGATATGAGATTTGAAATCCTAAAAAGTGAAAACAAATGTTGTGTAATTATGCTGTTGCGAAAGGTTATCAATTGTGCTACAAAAAATGATAGTATGAGACTTTTAGTTACATATTGTTCTGGGTAGTGCAAGTATAGACTGTGAGCTTCATGGATGAGTGAAGAAAATTCTTTCCAGCTTAAGTGTAACATCCCAAAAATAAGATCTGAAAATATTTCATTTTTAAATTAATAAAACAGGAAATCATATTATTTTCATAAAACCAAGATAATCGAAGTTTATCAATACATCATCATTATCAGAGTAAATCACAAAATGCAGAATCGAGTGGTGTGTGCTCTGCAATCATCCCAGGCTCTTTCTTTTGAAACCAGAAGTACCTGAAACATAAACTGAAAACCGTAATCACAAAGCTTAGTGAGTTCCCCAAAATACCACCAACCATACATACATAAATAAACACATAATGGGCCCCGCCCAGTAAACATGTAAAACATATAAACATATAAACACATAACACATGTAATAATCACAAAGATCCATATAATACAGACTGGTCATCGGCCCCCGCCCGGTAACCATACGAGCACATAACACATGCAAGAGTCACGCATACATATAGCATCCTAACATAACAAAACCATGGGCCGGCATTGGTGCCTTTGACCCGCTAAACCTAGTGAGGAAACTCACCTCGCACTGCCGAATATCACATAAAGAATCTATGACTGCTGGTCCGATAAAATCCCCACGTTATCAATCACAAAATAATCATCCAATCAATAATCGGATCCCGACCCACACTAAGAGTCCAAACTAGGGTAAAAGACATTT